TCTTGTCGATTAGAGAAGAAAAAGAGAAAGAGGAAGAAGAGGAAGGAAAATCGAAAAAAGGAGAAAAGAAGAAGAATGAAGGAGAATCGAAAAAGGGGATAAAATCAAAAGAAAGGAAGTAGAATAAGAAGGAAAGAAAATCGGGGATAAAATAAAAGAGAGAGAGAACCTAATCAGAAATAAAAAATCTGCTGTAAATTAAGTATTAATTATAAATAACCGCTATATATTTAAGAGCACAACATTGTCCATAAAAAAAGGTATAAATGAAAACAAAAAAAGGCAATTTCATCTAAATAATAGGTGGGATTAGTTATGTGAAATCTCTAAAGAAACGGATAAAGGGTGTCATTATTTCCATACTAGTTGATTAATAACTTTGACCAAAATAAATTGTCCGTGCATTGCACGGGTTACGTACTAGTTAGGATTGCAATCGGTGACCCAGTGACCGCCGAGGTCGATTTCCGCGTCTAACAACGATTGTGTACATGTTAAAGTGAGAGGTGTCAAAGAAAATATAATAATTTAAGGGGACGCCGTACACGTGGCAAGGAATCAAATTTTCCCACCAGATTTTTTTTTTTACAAAATAATATAGCCAATAATCACCTACAGCCTACAGCAAATAAAAAATGGTCGCCACTTGACATTGACAAACTCTCTCTGGTTTCGTCTTCTCTCAATTTCGAAAACCCTCAACCTTTTCTTTTCATCATCCGGCGAAACAAAAAAAAAAAAAAATGCTCTGTTCCGGAAGGATTCTTACCGTTCCCCGTGTCCCCGTGCTGTTGTCCTCGTCGCGCTATCTCCACCACGCAAAGTTCAAATCCAATCTCAAGTGGCGATCTATGGCCTCCGATCCCGACGTGCCCTCTTTTACGGACAAGAATTCCTCAGCGTAATATGTCTTCTGATTTACGATTTCCAGTATTTGTTTTGTGGTGTTCATTATTTTTGAGTTTTTGTTGGTGGATTGGAGTAATTGGGACGCGTTGGGGCGCAGGTTCTGTATAATAGAAGGCCCGGAGACGGTCCAGGACTTTGCAGCCATGGAGTTACAGGAAATTCAGGACAATATTCGGAGTCGCAGGAATAAAATCTTTCTGCAGATGGAAGAGGTTAATCCCTTTTCTTTTTCTCTCTCTTAACCGAGTAACTTTAAGGGATTGGATATGAATTTGATTGGTATTTGATTGTTTTTTTAATCATAGTTAATTTTGAAAAAAAAAATTGTATGGTTAGTTGTTATTAGGAATAGTATAATAATATTTGAAATAAAATAAATGAAATTGATTTGATGGAAAAGTAAGAGAAAAATAATTGGAAGGGATGGTTAATTAAAGTTACGTGAGTGAATGAATAGTGAATTAAAGTTGATGTGATGTGTAAGAATGATTGATTTATATTATTTAATTATATTGATAATATGAAAGATAATGAAATTTAGTTAAAATTGAGTTAAATTTGAATTTTGATTAATTATTTCACTGTAGCAGCGTTTATATACAATCACAGTCACACCGTAATCGATTAAAACCATACTATTACAAATCCCGTGCATCGCACGGGTAAAAGACATTTATTAATATTTATAAAAGTGATGCACGAGTAAGAGACATTTATTAATAATTATAAATTAAAATTTCCTATTAAATAATATTATAAATTAAAAATATAAAAAGAATATGTAATACAATTACCTATATTAATTTATTGAAAATGTTATATGAAATAAAATGTGCAAAATTACATAAATCATGTCTATTTAAAATTAGTACACAACCGGTAAAGTGCACGTAACTGATAATAAATTACGTTATATTCATTTTAAATTAAGTGTTATTCTACATTTTTATTTTGAAATTCAGTTTGATTACAATGTGATTCCATAAAATAAATATTTTAGTAAATATTTATTATATTTTTAAAAATCTATGAGTAATTAATATAATTATAAAACTTATATTGTTTTATTAATTAAAATGAATTTAATTTGGTATAACTATCCAAATAAAAAAATTTAAGTAGCTGAGTAAGTTATCAAACTATAAATAATTGATTTTTCCATTTACGTCCAAGTTAATATTGACCCGTAAAAGTTAATATGTGACCCGTAAATTATGAATAATTACTTATTTGACTTTTAATTTTGGAGACCAAATTTAGGATACCCAATAAATTCTTATATATATTATTTATATATATGTATACATCTATATTATTTTACAATTTTTTAGATTTTTGGTCGTTTACCTTACCATTCAAATTTATCAACTAATTCCTTAGAGTTAAATTACAAATTTTGAATTTTATTAATCAATATTTGTTCAAAGATCATTCTGAATTTCAAGAGGAATACATATAAGTTTGCCAAATTATCATCAATATCTTATGACAAATTATTATAGGAATACAATAAAATTTGAGAGTCTCCATGCTCACATGAGGTATTATGTTCGAAGCCCAGGAGCAACATTTTTTTTTTTTTTTTTTTTTTTGAGATGTAGCTCAGCGGTATTACTCGTATCACCTTGATTATATAACCAATCAACATAAACTTCAAATTTCATACTCATACTAAATAAAATTCATACAAATTTTCAAATACACTTCTATCCATATTAAAAAAAAAAATCCATACCATCTAATTTTGAATATTTCATACCAAAATAAAATCACCCACTTTATACCATAAAATCAGACATTTATTAATAACAACACATTTCCTACAAAAAAATAAAAATAAAAATCATATATTTAAAATAAATTATCCACTTTACCAAAAATTGATTAATTAATTTCTAGAGTTGGGATATTTTGAAAATTTTCAAAACAAAATTACAAAGATTAGTAATTTTTGAATTTTTAGACCGTATTTTAGTTTCTATTTCAAGTAAATATTGTAACACCCCACCTTATCGTAAAAATCAGAGTGCGAAAATTTCGCAAAGTCTTTAAAAATAAATCTTTTACTCTGCGAAAACTGATTTGGGGTGCCACCGTAAAAACATGACTTAATTTGGAAAACCGTTATTTCTATTTTTAATAAGATTATACTGTTACTGAAAACATGAAGTTTTCCAAAAGTCCATTCAAAATATAAGTTCGTCAAAAGCCATCATCAGCGGAAACGTAAATCGTCAATATAC